AAAGATTCGATAACAATGATGAGGAAATTAGTTATGTATTAAAAAAAAAGTCCTAATGCAGCAGGAAAAATTGGCCGACAATCAATTAGATAGGTTGAATCACTGGCTGAATGCTATCTAATAGCTAAACAACAAAATATTTCTGATAACTAATTGCAATAAGCCAAAATTATATAACGCAACAATGGATGTTGCAAATTTTAGAGTATTATTACTGACGAACTAATAAACCTAATAAGTATCTGTCACTAAATTTTATGCCTCTTCCCAAATAAACAAAAACACGACTGGGGAATTAAAAACTAGAATAAGTTGAAAAAAATATATAGACTGAAAATTCTATCCATCTTCTCTTCGCTTCTTCTTTTTTATTTTTCAAAATAGACAATGCATTCCAAAAACTTTGAATTTCTAAAACTTCAAAAAACGTCCACAATTTTAAAGTTAAAAAGAAAAAATGATTGAGTCTGGGGAGAAAGATAGGAAGGAATGGTAGTAGAAGGAAACAAAAAAACTCGAGACAAATTCCAAAAATTTTGATCTTTTAAAACTTCAAAAAAAGTTCATGATTTTAAAACTGAAAAGCAAAAATGATTATAGCAAAGGGAAAAGATTGGAAGAAACAATAACAGAGGAAAATGAGGGAACTCGAAACCAGTAATACCAACTCAAAATAGCATTAAAAAAAACATCTTTCCTTACCGGTTTTCAAATTAACACCTTTTACTGTGCCATACAATCAGCAACAACAGCGTCATCAACAAAAGCAACAAAATTACAAGTTTAAAAATGTAACAAAAACTTAGTAAGCTTCCGTTAAAAACTAGGAAAGAAAAAGCAGACAACCTAGACAACAACAACAACAAAAAAAAGCAATAACAGACTCACCATCGTCGTCATCATCATCAATTGAACAAATCTATACCAACAAACTTGAAAGCAATAGCAATCGCATAAAAAAAAAATTTTTTTAATAAGGAAACAGATATGTTTCCAATGAAAAATGATCGGTTTATCAAAAAAAACGCACATCGCATTTCTCCTCATTTAAAAAATGCACAAAAAAATCAACTTCTTCCAGAACCAAAACAACACTCATCAAAAACTGATAAATATTTCGATTTTTGAGCTTCATTTTTGACTAAATTATCACAGAAGAAAATTATGCTCTGTGACAACGCATCAATAAAACCCCTTTTATACAGCGCAACGCATTTTATCGAGCAGCTCAAAAAGTGTCTTAATTCCAATTTTCAATAAGTCCAAAAACGGGACAATAAAAAGGCTATAAAGCATCATAAAACAATTATAGCTATTCTAACAAAGGTTTCCATTCCTCCTTCCCCCATCCCCTTTCTATTCCTGCCCCAGAAAAAAAAAGACAAAAATGAAAAGGAATTTCCTGACCCAACATAATTCACTGTTAACATATCGTAGTTGTTCCAGATATCGACAAAATTTTTGTTACAAAAGTCTACCGATCAGAAATGCTCAACTAAAGAACAAAAAAAAGAGGAATACGAGAATCCCTTTAGAATCAAAAAATAAAAGCAATAAAAATACACAAACACATACATAAAGATGAATAAAATAAATTGAATAAAATTCTTGCTTCTCCTTAGTGGCACCGAAGATGAACAAAAGAAAACTAATAATATTAAGGCGATAAACTAGAGCAAAATATGAGCAAACATAGACAAGAAAAAACGACCAGTCAGAGTAGTGGTAGCACAAAAAATGTTCACTAAAGAAAAAAAAAA